AAATAATATAATACAAATATCCAGAACAAAGGAAATATTTTATTATACCATTATCCCACTAAGATAATTATTATTCATATGTGTTTATATCTGAAATATTTTCATTATAGGTACATGCATTTGATAATTATAATCATAGTTATATACAATTTCATCTTATGCTTTTTCATGTTTAATTATATCATAATCACTTTTTCAAGATGCTAAATTGTTTTCATAATTACATATTTAGATGGCTGTAAGATACTAACTTAATTCATCCCATCTTGTCCAGTTTAGGATTATCACTTTAACTATTGCTATCACTGCTTTTGCTTCTGAAAATAATATTCTTACACTGTACACACAGATTCTATTCACATACATTGATATTTCCTCAGGATAAATGCTCAAACATATATGTTTTCTACCAATGTTTAGTAATAGTCTACAAATATTTTAAACATTTGTTGATAAATTGGTACCTCAAAAATTATATATTTATACTGCATGTACACAAAAGTACATCAAAAGATTCATTAAAAATTGAGTTAAAAGACAAAAATTAAAATATAAACTTTGTTTTTCAACATAAGTTCCATCAAGTTCAAGATAATTTTGATCTCAGTTATACCAGCCATAGAGTTTACCAAAAAAGCTGAGAGTCCCAAGAATTTCATTCTGTTGCAATAATCATCTTTTCAGTATTAACTGAAGGGAAACAATGGTGCTTAATAAAAATAAAAATGACAAATAATGAAATCATGACTAAGAAGTAGATTCTTAATTATTTTTCATGGAAACACAGCTCAGATTGACCTATCTGATGAAAGGAATGAGCAAGGGCATTGTCACAGTGGGGAAAGTCTCTCTGATGAAGTTTACCTGTGAAGTCTTTGGGAACCTTTCTCAAATAATAACCTTTCTCATAATGAACAGTTGTTATCATTCTTAGACCCTCCACGTGAATACTTTGAGCATCCCAGGACAATGCTGCCATGACCTTGGGTCTTGATTGGTCTAAATTTGCTTTCACGGGACCACTTCCACCTTTTGGTAGCCGTTGCTTTGATCAGGCTTTGTCTTTAGGATTGTACTGGTAAAGCCAAGTTTTACCTCTTCCTGCAATTCTTAAAAAATGTTTCAGCATATCGATTCTGCTTCATTGAAATTTCCACTGAAAAGCATACTCTTGGCTGTAATTTATCTAGGTATAACATTTTGGGTACTACTGAGTAGAAAGTCTGCTGTGTTTTATAATTTCAGTCAGAATTATGCTAAAGGAGCCAGCTGAGATATCTGTGGTATTGCCTATTGTTTCTGCTCTTGTTAGCCTTATTAAATTAATGAATCAACAAATTTACTTTTTTTCTACATAAATTGACATGAATGGTCTGCCATTGCAAGCTTCATTGGCAATATCACTTTATCCCTTTCTTTTTTAAAAATGTATTTATTCTTTGGAAAGTCAGAGTTACAGAGAGAGGAAAAGACAGAGAGAGAAAGAGAACTTCCATCTGCTGGTTCACTCCTTAAATGTCTGCAGTGTTCCAGGCTGGGCCAGACCGAGGTTAGGAGCCAGGAACTCTATCCAGGTCTCCCACATGGGTAGCAGGACACCAAACAAGGGAGCCATCATACTGCTTCCCAGGTACATTAGCACTTCTTCACCAGAAGTAAAGTGGCTGAGACCCAAACTGGCTCCCATACAGGATGCCAGCATCATCAGTGGTAGCTTATCCTCTGTGCCATGACGCTGCTGCCTACTTAGCCTTTCTTAAAACAAGTTATCCATTTGTAAGCTCTGATTTCTTTGCAGTATTGTTCTCATACATTTTCATAGAGTGCCAATAATTTTATCATTCTTCCACCAAACATTCACCATAAATTTAATGTTTGTTCTTGCTTCAATTTTTTTTAAAGATCTGTTTATTTACTTGAGAGGTAGAGTTACAGACAGACAGAGAGGTCTTCCATCTGCTGGTTCATGCCTCAAATGGCCACAAAAGCCAGAGCTGGGCCAGAAGCCAAGAGCTGCTTCTGAGTCTCCCACGTGGGTGCAGGGGACCAAGCACTTAGATCATCTACTGCTTTCTCAGGCCATCAGCAGAGAGCTGGATTGGAAATGGAGTAGCAGGGAATCAAACTGGTACTCATATGGGATGCTGGTGCCACAGGCCGAAGTTTAACCCTCTATGCCACAGTGCTAGACCATATTCTTGCCTCAATTTTAACAGAATTAACATTACTGTTAATTGAGGTTCTTTTCAAACGTCTATAGTATCCTTTTTAGTGTCTCAAACTAGATGCTGTTTAGACATGTTGCAACTAGTTAGTATGAGATTCTTTTATTGGAAAAAAATTTGGATCCATGCATAGTGGTTACTGACCAGGTCAGCTGACATCTGTCTGGTTGCATTGTTTTTGAGGACAAGCAGTGATCACTCCAATACCTGATCTTTAAACCAGGTAGAATGAATCTATCCACTTGCCTACAAGCCTTCTGTGTTCATATTAAAGTTTTAGTTCCTATAGTGCCTTTTAAAAATGTTGTTGAATTACCAGTTAAACTCAAATAATAACACGTTTTCTAAACCAAATATCCTTCTCCATTTTCAAAAACCTCCACACTCTTTTGTTCTTCAAAGCACTTCCTCTTAGAGTAATCACAGCACTTTCTGTGTTGCAACTATCCTGCATCCATACTCACTGTTTTGCCCTGTGCAGTCCTATATCATGTCTCTCATCTTGAAGTAACCCATGAAGAGCTGTTGCTCATTGGGCACATTATTATCCTTCTTACACAGCTTAAGGCTCATTGCTGCAGTGGATAATAACAGTGATCTTAATAAGGACCAACAGTAAATAACAACTATGACAATAGATGCAATATCAAAATTGGCCTTGCAACCAGAGTCCTTTGGGACTGGTCTGAAGCACTTTGTGAGAAATGGCAGCAGTGGGCTCTCTGAAGGCTTTTAATCGGGGCTGCACCAGGGGTCCCCGACCTAGTCTGTGATGTGGCAGAAATGGTTGGCTTTGCGGAAGACAAATGCCAGGCCACACTCTGTGTTAGGAAAGGCTCTGGACCTGGTGCTATAAATAATAATAAAGATAAATAATAAAAAAGTGAAATGTTTTAAATGAAAGGTGGTGCACTGTGAACTTAACACACTGACCCTCTAGCCTTTCTGTTAACAAGGTAATCTGATTGCCATTGATTTTTTTCACCTCTGTTACTAAGAAGGTGATGAAATGGTGTCCACACAGATGTATTGAATCAGATACTAAACAAAGAGAAACATAAAGAACAATTATGAGCAACCTTGCTTTCTGCCTGCTGATTATGACATTACTGGAAAGACAAGGACTGGGTGACTTAAAATAAAATCGGGGGAGGGGTGTGTAGAAAAATGGACAAATGTAGGTAAGTTTCTGCAAGTTCTTACATGTTTATTTCGCAAGAATGTCACAAGAAGCTTTTTCTCTGCTCCATAGTTTGAGAAAGGGCCATTTCTACTTTTGCGGTTTACTGATTGGCTTTCTAATGTGATCTAATTAACTACTTTTATTATGCCACTGAGAAAATAGCATGGTAGAGATGAGTCAGTAATGCATATGTTTTTACTGTGTAGATTGTGGCTGGGTGTTGTGCAGAAAGAAATGTTTATTGGTCTACTAAGTGTCTCCAAGAAGCCCCCCAAGAGTGTGGTAAGACCTTAAATACTTTGAAAGGAAGCCCACATTTCTGTCAATAAACTTTCTAGATGGTTTGCAATGAATGGTTGGAGACCTTGTTTGACACATGTACAAAGATGGAATTATCCTATGACTGCTGACTTCAGGGCCCACGCTGAATTAATTTCCTAATGTCAAGTATTTCTAGGTTTTATTATTTCCTTTGCATTAACCCAGTTGCTTAAAGCCCATGGTAAAGATATGTATGCCTAAGCAATTTTCATACCTTTGAGCATATGTTTTTGCCTCAATAAAACTGCTTCCACCATCTTAATGACATTCATGATGTAATCATCTGTGGTAATACCGTATCATGGCATCTTCTCACGGACAGAGTGCTCCAGTGCTTCTGCCCTGCCCAGCGCTGGCAGCCATTACTAAATGTGAACATGGGAAATGCAGTGGGGTGAACAGATCTCTTTTTGGAAACTCCACTACAGTGTGGGGAGGAAACCAGTTGGGTCAGGAAGCTCACCAGTGCTATCTACATGGTGTTTTTTAAAGCAATAGAGGAAATCTTGTGAAGGAAACAACAGGGCACCAACACAGATGAGTATATTCAAAGTGTCAATGAAAGCTTCAAAATCAGAATGGTTGGCTGATATATGCAGCATTCTTCTCAGTCCCTTTCAGGCAAGAACCTTGTAGAAATTGGAAAATATAGAAAGAAGCATAAGAAATAAAAAGAGAGTCTCCAAGTAGGATAGAAGCTAGAGAGAAATTGGAGAAATAATTTTTAAAATAAATACTTTGTGAAGACAGGTTATATGAAGACAAACCTTCCTATACTTAATGTAAACAGCAGCAACAAAAAACTCTACAAATAAAACTTGTACTTACTCAAAACGCACCCAGGAAAACATTTTATTGACTGTAGAAGGTGGAGTGAAGGAAGTTTTCTGAGACAGCAGTAGTTATCAATCTGAAGCCTACATCAGAATTACTTGAATACTTATTACATGATTTGCCAGTCCCCATTCCCAGAGCTTCTGATTTACATTTATAGCAAATTCACAGGTATGTCCAAAACTGCTGGTTCTTTTTTTTTTTTTTTTTTTTTTTTTTTACAGGCAGAGTGGGCAGTGAGAGAGAGACAGAGAGAGAAAGGTCTTCCTTTTGCAGTTGGTTTACCCTCCAATGGCCGCCGCGGCCAGCGCACTGTGGCCAGCGCACCACGCCTATCTGAAGGCAGGAGCCAGGAGCCAGGTACTTCTCCTGGTCTCCCATGGGGTGCAGGGCCCAAACACTTGGGCCATCCTCCACTGCACTCCCGGGCCACAGCAGAGAGCTGGCCTGGAAGAGGGGCAACCGGGACAGAATCTGGCGCCCCGACCAGGACTAGAACCCGGTGTGCCGGCGCCACTAGGCGGAGGATTAGCCTATTGAGCTGTGGTGCCGGCCAAAACTGCTGGTTCTAGAAATATCTCTGTGGTATCTAAGTTCTAAGGCTTTGCTCACGAGAAATATCTATGAGGACTATGAATCCAAATAGTACAAGTTTGGTTGTAGATATTAGTATGGTTATCTAGTTTGTGAACTTGAATCAGTCACCTAAAAATAGAAGTAATACAACTTTCCGTGTGGATTATATGAAATAACTTATGTAAGGCATTGCACCCTGAATGCACCCTCTCAATTAAACTGTAGAAATGGGAGGGGCCAGTGCCATGGCACAGTGGGTTAATCCTCCCCTTGCGGGGCCAGCATCCCATATGGGTGCTGCTTCGAGTCCCGGTTGCTCCATTTCCAATCCAGCTCTCTGCTATAGCCTGGGAGAGCAGTAGAGGATGGCCCAAGTCCTTGGGCCTCTGCACCTGCGTGGGAGACTGGGAAGAAGCACCTGGCTCCTGGCTTTGGATTGGTGCAGTTCTGGCTATTGCAGCCATTGGAGAGTGAACCAACGGAAGAAAGACCTTTCTTTCAGTCTTTCCCTCTCACTGTCTGTAACTTTACCTCTCAAATAAAATAAATAAAATCTAAAAAAAAAAAAATGTAGAAATGGGATTGGTATTGTAGATTCCATTACAATACAGAAAATTGAGATGATCTGACCTTAAGTGAGAATAAAAGTGTTCCAGTGGCCACAGATTCCTCTGGGAAAACAGCAGTGGCTGATAGGATTCATTAAGACAAGGTGGGGCCGGTGCCATGGTGTAGTAGGCGCCAGCATCCCATATGGGTGCCAGTTCTAGTCCCTGCTGCTCATCTTCCAATCCAGCTCTCTGCTGTGGCCTGGAAAAGCAGAAGAGGCCCAAGTGCTTGGGCCCCTGCACCCACGTGGGAGATGGGAAGAAAACACCTGGCTCCTGGCTTCGGATCGGCACAGCTCCAGCCATGGCGGCCATTTGGGGACCAACGGAAGGAAGACCTTTCTCTGTCTTTCCCTCTCACTGCCTCTCAAATAAATAAAATCTTAAAAAAAAAGACAAGGTACCCCAGTAATTATTAATAAGATAAATTTAGCTGGAGTTAATTGTCCATTTTTACTTAAAATTTGTTACACTGATGACATTAATGGTAACACATGTGCTTTTATGGCAAAAGAGCAATCTTTTACCCATCTTGAATATTTAAGGGCCACAAAATTTTAAAATTACTGTTCAAAGAATCTCAAATAAAAATAGTTATTCTCTCCCCTATATTTGCAAATATTACCCACATGACAGCTATTTCAAGAAACAAAGAGATTCAAGCCTCCTTAGTCCTTCACTCTGCTTTTAGAGGTATCATCATTATTTTCTCCTCAAATTAACCGTTTACTAAGAGGCTGCCACCACTGCATTCAAATTCTTTCATGAAAGTCAAACGGAAAATTGTCCAACCATGTGCCACTCTGTTGGTTAGTTGGTTACACTTGTCGTGTTTTATTTTCTACCTGAATTCCATGGCAGATCAGGTTCCTGTTGCTTCAGTACAATACCTGATGCAATGCACCCTCTCTGTATCCTTGTGGGAAAACTTTTTTTAAAGGTTATCCATCTCTGAAATGTTTTTTCCCAGTTTTTTTTTTCTTAAATATTTCATTTATTTATTTTAGAGGCAGAGTTATAGACAGAGAGAGGGAGAGATGGAAAGAAAGGTCTTCCATCCGGTGGTTCACTCCCTAATTGGCAACAACAGCTGGAGCTAGGCCAATCTGAAGCCAGGAGCCAGGAGTGTCTTCTGGATCTCCTATGCAGGTGCAGGGGCCCAAGTGCGTGGGCCATCTTCCACTGCTTTCCTAGGCCATAGCAGAGAGCTGGCTTGGAAGAAGAGCAGCATATGGGATGCTAGCACTGCAGACAGCTGTTTTACCTGCTATGCCACAGTGCCAACCCCAATTAACCAATAATTTAAATAAATGTATGGTGTATCAGTATATAAATATTCTGAATATTCATTCACTAGATGATAAGTATTCCCTCATTTATCATCTTTGTCAGCTATCTCTCATCCCATTAAAATGTATGCTTCCTGGTATCTTTCTTCTTTACCTTCGTAACCTTGGCAAATACGACACTGTCCTGCACATACTAGGTATTTTTACTCACTTAATGTTAAATAAGTCACTTATAGACACCAAAGAATAAGTTGGCACACATGATATTAAGTGTTGATGTAAAAGTTTGAATATCTTTAAAAACAAACACAGCACCATGTACTCCTACCTCTATGGTAATTAAGAGCATGCACAAACTATAGAACGATATGGCTTAACCTTGCTGGTTTCCATTTAAAAAAAAAAAACAAAAATAATCTTTCAATTTGTTTCATAATTTATCACTCATCATGACCTTTTGTCAATAACTAATAAGAACCATGGATCAGAAGGAAACAGCAGATTGATGTAAGGCATAAGGAGAAGCAGAAATTGATTTGAAATCTGATATTAATTCTAAGGAGATTAGACAGATATATAATAGATACATAGACACATTCCTTGTAATCCAGAGTCCTGTGGATTACTGAAAACAGGTGATAAGAAGTGATAAAATGTTAAAAACTTGGCAAAAAATTAGTTTTCAGTTTTAAAGCCAGAAATTAGGAAGATGTGAGAAAATAGGTAAAGACGTTTCCACATTTATCTCTAAGATCATTGCTTTACACAGGTATATTATGCCTCTATGTACTTTCACATCGGCTTTTCCTGTTTTAATTATAGAAGAGGCGGGAAGAAATATTCCAAACTATTATTTTCCTGATATTTGAAAGTGGACAAAGAAATAGCAAATATCACCAGTTCAAAGAAACAGAAGGGATGGGCTTCTGGGAGTGTCAGAAGGCTTGGCTAAGCTAATTAAGGCTGCATTGGCCCAAGTTGAAGCACTTGAACTTGAGGGTGATTAGCCGCCCTCACCTTCGATGTGTGCAGGACCCTACTAAATATCAGTGTTGGAAACTGCACGTCTTCTGATGGCACCTGATAGGGCAGCTCTGGAAAATGCCAGTCGAAACTGGGAAAAGCTTTTTTATGAGTTTTTTAAGTAAATAAAACCCCAGAATGGATTTTATTTCCAAGATGTGCTTTGTTTTATCACGATGACCTTTCTAAGAAAAGAGGAAGCCAGCCTCAGGTCAAAAGAAATGGCCACATTTCATCTACAGTTAGCCTCCCTGACCCTGAACTTGGGTTTTCCGTCTGAACCTCTTTTCATGCACCATTTCTCCTGGTGTCTGATAAGGGACACTCAAGTGCTTGAGCAAGGCCACATGGGAACTTTGACTTTCATAAAATAGCCAGGAAGCACATTCCCCCCCACATTAATTGCAGATATTATTCCTCTGTCTGTTTCTCTAACACAACAGGAGGTTGATAAACTACGAATTTCAGGAGAGTAAAATGGAGTCTTGAAACCAGGCCCCATGACCAGCTGGAGAGGCCCAGTTTTCATCTATATTACATAAGTATTTACACACACACACACACACACACACACGACCACATGCTCCTGTGTGTTTACACACACAAGTGATAGCATCTCATCTTTTTCCCCCTATCTCTAACACAGAAGTCAAGAGGTTTGGGAGCACGCACAAAAAAAGAGATTTCTAAGAGAGCAGGCGATTGGGCTGGGGTCATTCGAAAGGGTAATTATTGTTAAATGTCAGGTTAACTCTGAAGGCCTCAGCTCATCCAACTGAGAGCAGATTAGCCCAGATGGAGACATTTTCAACACGGTGCTGTCTGGCCAATCAGAGACAGCTGGGATTAGCCAAATACCTTCTCTCATCCGCTTGCTCACAGAAAGGTCAGTTTCTACTCATTGCTTCTCTTTTAAGATGTGCTTTTTTTTGTATTTATGGCAGTCGTGTGCAGGAAATCAGGTCCCTTTTATCAGCGAATTAAATATTCAACATCTAAAACCCACTTTTTGAGAGTCAACTTCATTCACTTTCAAGACCACTTTTATCTTCGTAAGTGCTGAAGATACACTGGGCGCATGTCCGCAGTGCATATTTTACCCTGGCCCTCCCGCTAGGCTGCAGCTCTGCCTGGCATGTTTTGCGTTATTTCTGAAAGCTTACTTGTTTCATTTCATGTGTTTTCTTCTTTAAGGGTGCCGGTTTATGTTTCCTATCATTTTCTTCATAAAAAGAAGAGGGGAGAATGAACTAACCCTGGAGTGCTCTAAAAGATAATCTGTTTTATGAACAGCTTTTTCTCCCTGTAAGCGACGTAAATGAGCACATGCATAAAAATCAGGGATGCAATGAACAGGAGGGGAACAAAGATCATGGACTTGTGGCTCTTCAAACGGTGCACGTGTGTGTATAGGGTGAGTGGGCACACCAAGGACACACACATACTATGAATTACCCCCACAAGGTGCACCAGCGTTTTCCAAGTACATTACTTCCTCTGTTCGTATATGAGTATCTGTGCATTCTTAGGAGAAATACATGGGAACAATTTTATATTCTCGTAACGTGTGTTACTTACCCATTTTGGAATGCTATCAATGTGAGACACTAGGACACTCATCTTGCAAAGAAAAGGACATTTTGAGGAAACTCTTGCCTTGCTGCTAATATGACCCTGATTTCAATATTCTGCTTCCACACCATGGTGCTTCCCATTTACTGCTGCCCCAACTCCTCCTAGTATTTTCATGAAAGTGAAGATGGGTAAACAACTTTAGAACATGTTGTGGCTTAAAAAAAGTATTAGGATAAGAGACAGTGGGCAGTCATTAATAATGATTAATTCATTTTTAGGAATAGCTGCTGTGGTTAAATTGCCTTAACCATTTTTCTATGGTAATACACGGGGCAATATTTCTGAGACTCTAGCAGTTAGAACCCAAATCGTGGTTTTAAATTGCATTCTCCACCAGTAACAATAACAAGAAAACAGGATCCACTGGAAAATGGAGTAAGGACTAAAGCAAATCCATGATGAGCATTTTGGGTGGGCATTTGGTCCTGTGGATAGAGCATCGGTTATGACAACTGCAGCCCAAATCAGAGAGAGCCTGGGTTTGATTCCCAAGCACTGGTTCCCTATTCCCACTTCCTGCCAATGAAGATCCTAAGAGGCAGTGCTGATGGCTCAGGTAATTGAGTCTCAACACATGCATGGAAAACCTAGACTGAGTTTTCAGCTTCCAGCTTTACGTTGGCATACACCTGCCCTTTTTTGGATATTTCGGGGAGTGAAATGGCAAATGGGTGCTATTTCTCTCTTTGTTGCTTTTCAGAGGGAAAAAAGTGGAGTCCATAGCACTAGAAAGTGATGACGTTTTCAAAAAACAAACCCACATTAGTGGGGTGATGTTAAAGGAGCACAGGAGGGCCCAGTGCTTTGGCTTAGCAGGTAAAGCTGCCACCTGCAGTGCCAGCATCCCATAGGGGTGCTTGTTCAAGTCCCGGCTGCTCCACTTCTGATGCAGCTCTCTGCTATGGCCTGGGAAAGCAGTAGAAGATGGCCCAGGTCCTTGGGCTCCTGCACCCGTGTGGGAGACCCAGAAAAAGCTCCCAGCTCCTGGCTTCAGATAGACTTAGCTCTGGCCGTTGTGGCCATCTGGGGAGTGAAACAGCAGATGGAAGACTTCTCTCTCTCTCTCTCTCTCTCTCTCTCTCTGCCTCTGCCTTCAAATTAAAAAAAAAAAAAAAAAGGAGCACAGGAGCTAAGTGAAAGCAAGTCCAATGGCTGAAGATGGAAGAATTCGCATAGCAATAGCAAAATAAACACAGTCGCATTGAATTGCATAAAATGAAAATCCCTGACTCATACTGCTATCAATAAAAGAAGTCAAAGAATGGAAGAAAATGGACTTATCCCCATGCAAAAAAAAAAAAAAAATCCAAACCATTTACGTAGATACTTTGCCACCAGGTTGGAAAGTGTAACCCGCATCCTTAGATGTAGATAGATCACAGTGTCTTCATTCTATAAGCATGGCATGGAAAGTGTGGGTGTGGCCAACATTGCCTTAGCTGGTGAGCAAAGTCTTTGTGGTGGTCATTGTGATGAGCCTCTTTCATTCGACCAGAGGAGAGCACCACTTTACCTCTTTATTTTTCCTACAAAATGTTTTTCCTACAATGTTTTCCTATATGACTACAATCTAATCATGAGAAAAAATATAGATACATTCAACTGATGAAAATTCTATGAAACACTTGACTAATATTCCTCAAAAAAGAAAAGTGTAGAAGCTGTCACAATCCAAAGGAACCTAAGGAGACAAAATGAACAAATAAAAGTGGCACCCTGGACAGTGTCCTGGGATAGAACAAGAGTATTTGGAGAAAAGTGGGGGAAACTTGATAAAGGGAAGACTTTACTTAATGCTAATGTATCAACACAAGTTCACTGACTGTGACAAATGTACCATCCAGTACTAGCGCAATCTGACAATGATAGGGGAAATTGAGTGTATAATATATGAGAACTTTTTATATAGTAATTAATAATAATTCTTTAATTCTACAACTGTTGCAAACTTAAAGATTATTTTATAAAATATAGGTTTATAACTTGAAAATTCACCTCGAATCATATCATATATTTTTCATATCAAAGTTTTTCAGTATTTTCAAAATATTTCTTCAAATTACATTGGAATGAAGCAAATTATTGGGGTCCTGGAATGTGGAGGGATAAAGATCTCCCTTAGTAATACAAAAGTGCAAAAATGACAAAGAATTTAAAAAATAAGTCAAATCAAAAATCTTAAATCTCCTTTTGGGTTAATTCAATAAAACTCAAACCAGTGTGTCCTTCAAAATAATCCTTCTAGACAAGTAATTCCTTCATACCTGGTCTTGTGACTTGACTTTTTCTGCTCACTCCCACTCTGAATTGGGACCTGAAGTTTGACCTTCAAGTGCCTTACATCTTAAAGGCAAGTCCTAGGAAATGCAGAAAGAGTTAACACAGTTCCAACCTTCCCTGTTGAATGCCAGCTGAGTGCCCCTCTTGGCACTGATAGTGTACAATATGTAGTACCAGGAGACCATTCAGTTTGTGAGATTAACATACCAATAAAGTATTAAATTGGGGTTTTGCTTCAATTATCTAAGCAATGGCGTTCAAAGCATATTAAAGTTGGTGGATATGCATATTTATCTGAATGCTTTATCTGTTCGTGGATACACATATCTTTCATGCCAAATTTCAACCACTTATTTCTCATTTCACTAATAATGATTATGCTTCTAATTGCTGTATTTGTTGAAAAACTAAATCTGTTTTTGATGAACTCCACATGTACTTTTTATAATATCTTTATATTGTTGGTTCTCAAAATTGTCAAATGTATATAAATTTTAAAGTCCTTAAGACATACTTCTTACCATAAATAGGAACAGATAGGATAGCTTTTCCTTGGGCAGGGTTTTTGTGGAGAGGCGAAGAGCCTGGTTGCCAATTGAACATCTAGAGATAAACCACACAATGGATATGATGTAAGGGAACTTGTGGTCTTCAAGATTTTTCTTTTAATAAAGTTTGAGTAGCAAAAGAAAGTCAAAATCTCGGAGTAAGGGTTTATTTATGTGGTATCTCTAAGACATCTGGGTATTTGGGTTCAGAAAAGAAATAGAAAATTCCTGAGTTAGCTCATTGCACTCTTGTAGTAAAAGAAAACCACAGAGAAATGTCTTTTAAGGCAATAAAAGGAAGGTGTCTTCTAGTACAGACATATTTCAATTGTTATTGTTTTCTGAACGGACTGGATGGTGCTGGACAGCGATGGATATATTTTTGACAGTCTCTTACTTATGAGTCTCTAGATGAGTTTTTTAATACTGTGGATATATTTAGGTGCTGAACAAATCAGAGTAACATTTAAAGTTAATGTAGTTGAAATGAATTTGCTTATTCCCCAATTGCATGGCTTCCAAGATTTCTAAACTTTAAGTCCTTCACCCACCACAAGAAAGCTTATTTAACAGGAAGTCAGATATAAGGGCAAAAAGGAATACAACAATAATATTCTGGAGGAATAATTGGGCTCAGTTTTGGTTTCTGAGCATCCCAATTTGTAAAGTTGATAAGCAAAATTCATATTGATTTACTTAAGAAATAAAGTCATAAATACTAGTATTTGGGAGGTTTGCCTTACAGTACAAATATGTTGCAATAGAGTTGAATTCACATAAGATGGTAATAAAATTTTTGTAGGACTTAAAGATGATGCTTTTTGCAACCTTAACATAATTGACAATCTGTAAAACCAAAACACAATGGGAAATTACTGAATTCAACTGGCACAACTATACTACAATTTTGACTTCAGTAATTCATATGAGGGCAAATTAACATCATGTTAGAAGCAGGCTGATGAGTACAAATCAAATAGTGCGTCTGTCCCCACAGGTTTACTGAGCATGTACTATATATAAAACCACCTCTGAGCGTTGAAGAAATGGAGACGTCTATTCTGCCTCCCAAAGACATACAGCATCCTCTGTGTTTTTGTAGTATTTATAACAATTCTAGTTTACCAATTAGTTGCTTAAGTAACAATGGCATCTTACATAGTTCTGGAGATTTTATGCTGCCAGATAGCAAATTTAATTCTATATCTTGTCTCCAGTTCCTACCAAAGTGTCTAGCACATCACAAATGCTTAAGGGTTATTTGCTCTTATCAAAAAAAGACTAAATACATGGAACAATCTGCTAGTTGTGAACACAAGAACAGAATGTACATTTTCTGTTTTTTCCTTACTATCAAAACACTGAACCACAGCTCACCTGAAAAATATGTGTCTTATCCTGCCTTGTAGCATCCCCTTAGTGATGGGACTTCTGACAATGCTCCTATGCTCCTGTTTGTCCTGGCAATCCTTGGTCTTCTTGCCTCCAATTCAGATTCTGAGCAACTAGCTGGCACTCTACCATCCAAGGATGATAAAAGAAAAGAACAATTATTGCAGAGGTCCTAACAACCAGCAGTGAAGGACCTGTACTTCTAGACTTCTCTAGAATAATAGAAAAATCAGTTTTTATCTCATTTAAACAACTATCATTTTCAGTCTCCATTACTAGTAGTTCAATATGTTTTTTCTTTGCTCTTCCAGGAGTAGCTATTTTATTAATATAAACAGGACCTTAGTGTCACCATTGTTTTGAAACTTGCCGTTTATACTTACGCATGTCAGTATACATTGATCTACTTTATCCTCTTTCACTATTGCAGCATTGCAAAGAACCCATGAGTCACGGTTTACTAAACCTTTCACTATTAAGGAAGGGCATGTCTACCCAGTTTTACATGCTTTCTGTGCAAAGTCATGATTTGAATGTGCAGATAATTTTTTTTTTTTAACAGGCAGAGTGGACTGAGAGAGAGAGAGACAGAGAGAAAGGTCTTCCTTTTGCAGTTGGTTCACCCTCCAATGGCCACTGCGGCCGGCGCACCGCGCTGATCCGATGGCGGGAGCCAGGTGCTTCTCCTGGTCTCCCATGGGGTGCAGGGCCCACACACTTGGGCCATCCGCCACTGCACTCCCGGGCCACAGCAGAGAGCTGGCCTGGAAGAGGGACAACCGGGACAGAATCCGGCGCCCCGACCGGGACTAGAACCCTGTGTGATAATTTTTTAACATGCAATTAACACCATACTCAGGATGTTCATTAGTCTCAAAATTGCCTTTGTCATTCCCTCTCCATACTGCACACTGACAAATACTGAACTGTGTTCTTATCCCTATACTTTTGCCTTTTTGAGAAGGTCATACAAATGGAAGCACATAGAATATAGCCCTGGGAATCTGGCCGATTTCACATGGCAGAATGCATTGGCAATTCATGCAAGTTGTTAGGTGTATCACTTGTTCTTTCATTTTCAATGCTGAGTAAGTATTCCATCAAATAACCATGACACAGTTCATTTTATCTAGTCATAGGATAGACCTCTGAGTGGTTTCCAGTTTTTTGGCACTTACGACTAAAGCTGATATAAACAATTGTACAGACTTTTGTGTAACATAAGAGGGTACTTCAAACTATTCATGGAAAATGGAATGAAAAGTTTATTTTGGTGCAAAACAATTTTGAAACCCATGTCTAGCTTTCTCATAATATAATTTTCCTCAAACTTTCTGAAGGCCCCTTATGTATTTTCATTTCCCCTGGGTAAACTCCTGGGAGTGGGATTGCTGGCTTGTCGGTGGTATGTTTACTTTCATAAAGTGTGCAACTCTCTTCTGAAGAGCCTGCATCATTTTGCATCAAGGGAGCATGTAGGAGAGTTTCTTCAGGCTCAGCAGCAGTCAATACCATGAGGTTTCTCAAGTTTGATCCCTCTTGTAGGTATATAGAATTATAGCTTATATTTGCATAGTTCTAATGACCAATGACATTGAAGACTGTTTTATGTACTTACTGACCATCCATATCTTCTTGATGAAGTAGATATTTACACGCTTTGACCATTTCTTAACTGAGCGCTTGTGCTTCTATTTAGTTCTGGGAAATATTTATATAGCCTAGGTACAACTTTTCCATATGCATTCTACAAATATATTCCCCTCCATATAGTTTTTAAGTAACCCCTTCCAGAAACATATGATGGTGGTTTCTGAAGTATCTCTTTGGAGGCCTACATCAGGCAAATGTCTTGTCAATGTGATTTTTCTGATTGGTTTCAAATCATTATAAAGTCCATGGCCAAAGGCAATTAGATATATGAAGCAGACAAACTAATCTGGTTAAGATTAATGTGTAACAATGTGCTACTTATCCCCCTCCCCCCCAATTGAAGACCTTAACTGATTGAATTAAGACAGTGGTTGTGGACTTGCGCGATTTGCCTCCCCATTCCCCAGGGTAACTGGCCCTGTCTGGAGACTTGGGAACAGGGGAGCTGCTACTGGCTTCTATTGAGTAGAGACAGAGTGTACTACCCATGTCCTAGAGTGTGTAGAACAGAGCCTGATAACAAAAATTATCTGAACAAAAGTAATGAGATTGCTGAGATTTAGAAGCTCTGTATTACATCATTTTACTAATTTAATTGCCTATACATCCATTCTCACCAATAATTTTGGTTAATGTTTGTTTTTAATGTGGGCCCATTTGTTGATGTTGCCTTCACAAAAAAAAATCATCTTTTTACCTGTAACTATGAAATAGAATTTATTAAATAAAAATATGCTTTCTTTGATTAGATAAGAAGAGAAGAACAATGCATAGAATATTGGCCAGATGAATTTAAGGCATAAAAATAGCGTAATGGTACAGCTGTTTGCTGCAGCCTGAAGACAAAGCTTGGGATACCTGCATCCCGTATCAGTGTCTGGTGCGAGTCCTGGCTCCACTCCAGATTCCAGCTTCCTGCTAATACGCATCCGAGGAAGCAGCCGTGATAGCTTAGGTGGTTGGGTTCCTGCCACTCACATAAAAGACCTGGACTGAGCTCCAGAATCTTGACATCAGCTTGGCCCAGTCTCAGCTCTTGTGGGCCTTTAGGGATTAAATTAGTGTATAATAGATCTCTCCCCCCACTTAAAAAAAATGAACTGCATAAATTAAAAAAACAATAACATGAAAAAGCATGAAGAAGGGCAAGTAATTTAAGGGGGTTGATGTCATAGAGATTCAATAGTCAAGAAACCATCTTCACAAAGTGAGCTAAAGATGATTCCATAGCTTGGTGAATTTACGATCAGAGAGGAAGCTGTAGTAATTGGAGACTGAGATATTAGAATAAAATTCTTACTATTGGAAAGTGGGTGAATTTGAAAAAAGTCCTGGTAAGAAATCCTATCTGTAAATTCATTTTCTTCCTGGGTCCAGAGATGGCAGAAAGAAACAAAGGAGAGAGAAAGAGAAAACAGGAAGAAGGAGGTAGGAGGGTGCGAAGGAAGGAAGTCACAATTAGCTAGCACTACAGAGAAATTGAACCTGTGAGTGGTAAATTAAAACAAATGAAAATTTAACTAAATAAAAACAAAACACACAAAACTCGCTGAATGACTGTATCCTTGCCAGTAAAACCTCACCTAGCATTAAACAGTTAATATTTATAGGTAACTTTATAATCATTGCTATCAGCAGAAAAAGCTACAATAATCCGATTGCCATCGCTTTAACCAAAGCCTGTGTCATAAACCTTGTAATTTTCTGCTGTCATGCTCAGCCACTTTCAACACATTTAAATTAGAAAGGACTATGCTAATTTTACTTCATAGCCAGGGTAATTGTTGCAAGACATAATTATCTTTTTTTCCCAGTCGTTTTATTCTCCACTTTTGTTTAAATTCAGTCTCAGTTGCCCCATGTCCTTTTAAGCCTGAACCATTTCTAGCCCCCACCCTGCTGGAAATATTTCTTTCATCTTCGTTGGCTATAAAGAGCTTAGACGTCTTTTTCCAATAGCCATGTTATTCCTCTGTGATCTTTCTGAGAAACAGTGTGTGAGTCTAAGTTGGTGAGTTAACTCTATATTTAATTAAAAAGGGCTGCCCTTTATTTTCCTTATATTAATGCTTAACATACCATAGAATTGACTTAAGAATTAAGTAGTTAAAGGATGAAAGTTAAAACATTTGGAAAGAGATACGGCGGGGTGTGAGGGAGGCTTATTGCTACTTTTAAATACTTGAAAGATAGAAGAGATTTATATTGCTTCAGTGGACTAAACTGGGTAAAAGAGTGGAATTAACAAGGGGAAAAGATCGACTCCAAATACGAGAAAAATAATTCCAGTAGTTGAAGCTGCAGTGGGTTTCCTTATAGAGCAGTGAGGTTAAGCCCTGGAAATGTTAACCCTGAGGTTAGGGATCCACAGCCTGAGACAGAAGGAGTTTGGCAATCTACCTCCTTCATAGAGGCTGAGATTTATCTCTAACAAGTGGCAGAAAAGTGATGGCTGATATTGATTAGATGGTATCAAAACTGGTCAAAGACAAGAGATGCATGAGGGATTAAAAATGTTATATTGGTAGATTAGGTATGTATCTTCTGACTGTTTACTGGGCATAAGAACAAGCATAAATCTGGTAATGTTCAATCATCTGAGAATTCTATGCCAGTTGCATTTGCCTCTGTTTACCCAGTGTCCTGCTAGTCATCACGGGTGCCACTAGCCCAAGGCATCTCAAACAGCCCATTTCCTGACAAGTAAGCCACTCCTAACCCCAGCAATAAGTGTGTCATTAATTACTTCACTTAAACATCCTAATCAGGGCGACTCCTGGAGAGTCATAAGTGTATCATTCATATTAATGCTCAACAGAATTCCCGTGCTTTGAGCCCACCCATGAGAAAGGCAAGCATTAAATTCTCTACTAGTTGAAAGGCCAGCACCACAGGAGGAAGGAAGTTAATGTCAGGGAACACGCCCACGATATTACTGCCCAGAACACCTGCTTCTCAGGGACACTTGCCCCTCTTTCTGGTGTGCTTTTGATAAATGTTGCAGGGGTTGGAGTGGAGGAAAGAGGTCAAATGCAAGGACAGAGAGCCACTGATACAAAATGAGTCACTGAGATCTCCAGTCTACCTCTGTAAGGCTCTGAGAAAGCTAATACATGTAGCATGAGGCTTGCTGGTATCAAGAGAGTCCTGGATAAGGGCCAGCAGATCTGAGTAGATTCTTATCATCCAAAACACAATTTTAAATGGCTCAAGTAAGTTCCACAATACAAAGCCATGTTCACTACACATAGGCAGAGGCATACATGTACACATATTTCTTATGTTTATGTAACGTCAGCTATATCACTGACCCACTGTGTACATAATTAGTTGTAGTTACCATATGCTTTTTAAAAACATATAGGGACTTTTGCAGAAATTCCCCAAATCAGAACTTTATGTCTGGATATTGGCACATGTGACACAAAAATGAAGGCATGTGCATACTCAGGGGATTGACAGGACAGATAAG